ACGCTCTTTAACAACCTAGAGGACGCTCTGGGCAAGAAGAATGGGGTCCTCATCATAGCCTTATTTGTGCAGGTTAATATCTATTATAAACTTTACTAATTCACACACTGACGCATACAAAAACTAGGGGTACATCAGGTTATGTTTAAGTCATAACCTGGGTGACCACAACTGCTCCACGAATAACTCCTCTGTGTTTCCTGTTTTTGACCTGTAGTTTTCTTTTTATGGTTGGGTCACTTCCTGAAGTCTTCAACAATGACTGACATTGACAATAGTAATAATTCTTTGCACATGTACTTTGCATCATGATCAGCACGATATCTGCAATATATAATAGCTGTATAGCCCTACTAGCCATTAAATCCAAAGTCAATTTCTTGCCACCCCTCATATTCAAAAATATTGATTATATATTATTTATTACTAGAATTTTGGGTTTGGATTTAGACAACATTTAGACTTTCACCAATTTATGTATAATTAATTCATAACAAACCCACACAGCATTATTAGCAGCTGCTCCATTTAAATGTGTCACAAATAGACAGCATACTCACCTATATTTAAAACCCGATGTCAAAATTGTAATTATCTTTGACCTTTTATCAGATTGGTAAAGAACATCTGGGGCTCAAGGCTATTACGGAAGTATTACAGGATCTACAGTACAAGGTAAGATTAAACATTACTTATGACAGAGGCCAAGGTAAAATAAAGGACTTTTTCAATCTAGATTACAAACCTTATGCAATATTTGTTCTAATTAGGGAAAGAGCAAGATAATCCCCTGCTTCAACCCCAACACTCTATTACCTGGTAAGAACATGTTGCCTCTTCAGATGATTAATAGGAACAAAATATACCTTTGTTTATTTGACTTCTTTTTACCTCATTTGTTAGCAACCAGATGTTTCTTGTTTTTTGACCCTTTTTAGATCTTGGGTCCCTGCATCCTGTTGTTTTTGAGGGGCACTTTTTAAAATCGTATGGCAGCTGTTTGACAGTTTTAATCCTTTTATGTCCCCAGACCCTTTGCTTAGAGACTACTGGGTGTATGAAGGCTCCCTGACGACTCCTCCCTGCAGTGAAAATGTAACGTGGATCCTCTATCGATACCCCCTCACCATCTCACAAATACAGGTAAAATATACATACTTTGCCCATTAAACATTCATCAAAATTAAGTGATATTTATGGAATTACAATAAAACACCATTCAAGGAAGCAGTTAGCAACTGAAGTCCAATTTTACGCTCTTTGATAGTTATTGGTTGTTACAGTAATCATTGTTCATGCAGGTTGCTCCTGTCTCCTCCAATTACAGCCAAATTGAAATACGTGTTATAATAAATATGGACCTTAATAATAACAAAAAATCACATTAACCTCACTGCATTCTTGGCTATGTCCTGCTGATAAACCCCAATATTATCAAGCCTTTGTATGCTAAGAGAACCTGTTTGAACAAAAAGGGATAAGGGTGATATTTTATGTGTGCCCTAGTCTGTCCCTTTGAAATGCTAAAGATCAGGCTAGCGTACCATGGTAGTATTATTCTTGCAACATGAAAAGGCTTAATACCCATAGATATGTAAGTCATGGGTGCTTGGAGGCTGAGTGAGTAGCAATCTCGCCACACTGCAAGAAGGTCATGGCTTGAGGTAACTTTTCATGATCCTAAACAATTTTTTCAATGTATCATGACAAATGATAAAAGGCTTTACTTGATCTACATGTTCTAGATAATTAACACAGTCAGAGTCCATCTACTTAATTCCCAGTGCAGATGTACATGAAAATATTCAGTAGTGTTTTTATCTTGTAACTGTTGCCATGCCGATTAATGCTGCCCTTGACAACCAGGGATACGTCCTTAAACATGTGTGAAGTATGTGTAGGATGCAATCTTCTTTTTTTATAGCTCAGCTATTTAAAGGAGCATATACAACCTGTTAGTAGATTAGTAAGAGTAATAATAATGCTTACACAATGACATCTTAAACATTAACTTTTCTTGTCTCAAATGTAATGGGGACATAAACTGTCTGTTTCAAATGTCAAAGAAATACTCATGTGAATTTGCGTAAAAATATTACTAACATAGAAGTGTTGATAATTAGATTGGAGATAAATTGTAATAAGGTAAAATATGCCCTTTACACAGATGTACACTCCCTTGAATGCCAGAGTTCTAGTTATATGTACACAAACCCCCCCACCCACATTTCCTGCCAGGCAGGAGGTGATATGTGTCAATGAGGAGTAGTAAATTACCCTTCACTGTAGAGTTTATTTTTATAGGTAGACAAACATTTGTTGAAATTTTACTCTTGAATCAATATGTGGTTTTGACAGGCTGGGTTTTTAATACGGTAGATCTATTACATACAGTAACTTCCGTGTGTATTTTAAAGCATTTTAACTTTCTGGAAGTGGCATGGCATGCCAGAAAGTTATACCCATAGATGAGTTTTATGCCATACTGTGGAATATTATAGGTGGCAACATTTCCATGGTAACAAGCAGGAGGAGGCTCTTCTCAAGACCATGGTTTGTGGAGATGCAAGCCCGCTCATCGTGGCCACATTTCTTTCTGCGTGCTTCAGTGCTATAAAAACATCCAAAATAAAAAACTAAATAAAACCAAACACATGGTTTAAATGTATTATACTCTCAAAGGTATGCAAAGTGCACAGCAAATACAATAGTTTGAATAACTTTACTTGAGTGCCCTCTGGCAATATGAATTTACTTGTCAATATTAAATAAATCAGATGAAGTATTTTCTACTTTCAGATTGAGGAGTTTCGAAGGTTGCGGTCCCACACCAAAGGGGCAGATTTACTCGAGGGGAATGATGGATTATTAGGGGACAACTTCAGACCCACGCAGCCCCTCAGTGACAGGACAGTCCGAGCAGCCTTCCAGTGACTTCAGATTCAAACCATCAACCTCTCACAGCATGGGGATCCACCAGAACAAGTGTAAAAGGTATAAAAAGTGCTTATTTGACTATTGATATTATTATAGTAAGTGAAAATAAAAAAGAGTGACAGACTTTTCCCAAGGAATTACTTTTATGTTGCAATGTGCAGGGCTAGACTCACAACTTTATAGTGAGTAGCTATAGTTAAATCGTACATACTGAGATTATATTTAGGTTACATTACTGTACATAAACCTTAAAAAATGTCATGGTTTATATGTGCATTTACTGATCCTAGGTTATGGCTGTTTCTCTGCCATATCAGGCAAAAATTAAATATTACATTTTCCTAAAGTCTAGTGTACTAGATCTATTATTTTGTTTTACCAATTAAAATGTAATATTTGGTGTTTTGCTTACAAACTTGTTAAAACATTATTTCCTTAAACATTCAACTGTCTGCCACCTGCTTTTCTCAGTGAAGATGTTGTTTCTATGTCTAGATTCTTCCAAAGTATTATTAAGCTTGTTTGTGTTTATAGAGATAAACAGCCATCAAACTAAGTTACAGGTCAGCTCTGTGGAGAGGCTAGTTTGAGCACAGTAAGAATTTAGGTTTGAATGTGTTTTTCAGCAATAACAATACTTAAATACATGCTATATAGGCACATTCAAAACCTTAACGTGGAACATTCCTAACAGATAATAACATCTCCATGGAGACCAGAAGTTGACCCTCCACCAGAAAAGTTACATAGTTAACCTTTAACAAAATGTAGCAGTACAATAGCAGTACAATTTTTTCAATTTAGTACAAAATGAAATGTTTTAGATCATAATCTCATCGGGGATAAACTTTAAATGGAAACAGTCCCAGAGGTATTTTGGATGTGGTAAAGAGACAGTATAATGGATCAAGCCCTGGAAGATCTAACCCAGTTATAATCTGGGACGGCCCTATATGCAGGATCTGTATATGGAGAGGTGCCTCAGCACAAGGACTACAGCTGAACCAAAAGGAGATACAGCATGTCCCTGCAAAACAAACGAGGGTTATATTGGGAAACGATGAGTTGGCTTGGAGGGTAACACTCTATATAATACTTGGACCTTATTTAACCTCAGCATGAACACATTTCACATTTAATTCATTCAGGCTTAGTAACTACTTAATTAAAACTCTAACACCAACTACCTAAATCATTCTTAATACACTATTTACTCATTATAAATAAAGTTTTAAATTCTGTTTTATTAAAGTTGAAAATAGTAATAGTTTTAAGTGTTAGCAATAAGTTTTGAATGAAGGTTGTTTGTCATCCAAGACTATATATTGTTTTAATAAAAGCCATTTCAGCAAAAGTTGGAAAATTGTTACTACCGGTACTTTGATTTTTATTAACTTTTATCTCATCCAAGAGTGTTAAATGATTCTGTAAAATTACCTTAATACTTTTCTGGATGTAAAGTGAAAGTTATCCTGTCTGATGTAGCTTTATGATGGCAATTATATTCAGAGTAAGTTAAGAGTTGATACTATGCCATATTCAAGCTTGCCATAATTCCAGCTGCAGGTAAGAATCAAGTATGCTTCAATAATAGTAAGACTGACACCAATAAACCTATAGTACATGTGTTGAATTTAAGTAATTTTAGACAATATTTGAGTCATAAAATGCAGTCTTGTAGCCACTGTAGTTATTATCACATTACAATAGCAAGTGAAGTAGCCAGTGTTTGCTGAAGTGGTAGATTGCTGAGTCGTGTGATTTGGTATTTGTGAACTCAAGGCAGGAGTGTGATACTGGAATTGAAACAAAGTCTTTTATCAGAGGTATGCAGCCTGTTTTTTTCAAGTAACAGTGCCAAATCAAACCATATCTCTGTTAGTTCACATGGCTTTACCTTCGTCTTAATCATCTAGTCTGACCAGCACACAATAATTGCTGCCTACTCTTTTAAATTACTTTGCTTCTTTTATGACTTTACTTTAAAAGTCTTATATTATGCAAAATGTTGTGTTGAGTTGCATTTTGTTTCATTCATTGAGTAATTCTTTATTATTAGTCTGTCTACATCTTCAAAGGTCAAAATGCTCTGTTCTACAATGTGAGAGATTTATTGGTATCTTTTAGATTTTTTTTGGTGACCGCACAACAATTTTGTTGGTTATTTAGAGGAGTGTATGTCACGTGGAAACAGAGGGAGGACCCAAAACGCAGGACTGCTTCAAAAATATATAATGACAAATCAAAAAATCCAAAACTCAAGACTAAATTGCCATGGCAAGAGACACAGAGACCCTCGGACAGAGACAATGGACCAACCAAGGGCAGAGGAGAACACAGCGTATAAATGCACACACATAGACACAGGTGAAACACATTAGGGCGGGGCAAACAATCAAGACAGGAAGTAACACTCAAAAATACAAGGTGACAGGACAAATGTCAAAATAAAACACAAACTACAACCACTACAAAACATGAACCATGACAGTGTATTGTTTATGCAATACACTTGACATATTCACTGTTTTGATGATTGAAATCGACATATTTAACCCTTACATACTAGTTGGGTCAAATTTGACCTGTTTTGATATTCTAGAGTAGTAATAATACCCTAAGCATCATTCTTTAATCCTGAAATTTGATGACTTTTACAAAATTTTGCCAAAATACACAAAAATGAAAATAATTAGAAATTCTATAGTTTTGTACAGATGCTACAAATTTTTTGACACTGGGGCTGGTTCGTGGGCTAATCCTATTGAGATGGATTTTCAGATCTATCAGTTCAAATCAAATGAAGGAAAATGGAAGTTTTCAGGAATCTTGAAACTGTGAAACTGTACAGACCATGTTTCTGTGTATTATTTTTATGGGACAGTGTTGACAGAGTTCAAGAGTTAACTGTTTTGAGATTCCCCCATGCCCCAGGTTCATAAGGAACACAAATCAATCACGGGGGAGAGAGGACTTTGTTTGTTTGTTTGTATGTTAAGTTTGTTTTCACTTAGGACACCACAGTTGTCTCATACATGCAAAAGAAGAACAAGAAAATATGAAAAATATGCTCTTCCTGCTCTTTGAACCATTATATTTATATATTACACATATTTATTAAATAGATATGTAGTTCAAAATCTGGTATAGACACTTACTATAAGGGACTCTTGATCTGGGTCAAATTTAATCCAGACCATACTGTGAAGGCTTAAGAAATGAACAGTTTGTGAAAGTTAATATTAACTTTGCAAAAGTGGTGGTTTAACAAAGAAATAATATTGCTAAAATGTAACTGGTTCTTAAAAAAACATTAATATATCACAATATATAAAGTATTGCTTGTAGCGCCATATCTTGAGCTATGTATCGTGTATCATATCAAATCGTGAGGAACTCTGTGATTCCCAACCCTAGTTAAGCATAACATTTATTCGCTACATGGGCATACAAAGAAACAGATATGGCTTTTTTGGTATTTTGAACTTAAATAAACTGACAGTTCACTGTGACCCCAGTTGGAGGCAAAGATCAGGAGATGGAGGGAGAATAGGAGGAGAACAGAGACTGAACAGAGGGGCATTGTTCTGAGTGTAAGTGATATCAAAGACCACCCTCACCAGGGACTATCCTGCTACGGTCTACAGACTCAGAGGCTACCACAACAAGGCTATATCCATGTTATATGCTGGTGTGTTTGGAAATGGACAACCACAAAGACAATTACACTGACTAAATATATTGGTTGCTGTGGTGGGCAGTACTCACAAAATTCTTCCAGATAATGATAGTGGGACGTTTTGCTTATCCATCAAAAATTGTTGTAGTTATTGCACAATAAGCATAGACTGTAAAATTACACACAAAAGGGCTGAAACATCACACGTTGAGCAAACCATATGTACTGAGGCTTTTAGCACAGTTCAAAGCATTTTACCCAAAAGTCACAGATGGTTAAGGTTTGTGTTAGTTACTGAAAAGTGTTTTTGTTTTAGTAACAACAACAACCACAACCACAACCTATAACAATTATATGACCACAATTGGGGCAGAGTCAGCATATTGTGAAGTGGGAACTTTTCAACATATTACATTAGTGTAAATGTATTATTTAGTATGACAAATCACTCTTGTTTGTAAGGGAATCTTTGTATCTCATATACACTAAGTCAATCATGGTTTTCAATTTTATTTTAGAATTTTTTGTTAGTTAAATGTGGATTTTAGCAGGATAGATAATAGCTGTTAATTACGAGGATGTGGCCTATATTTTGAGCTCTGTTTTAAATCATTGATACTTCTTTACCTACTAAATTCATTTATTAAAAATCAGATTCAGCTTATTCACTATACCTTAAATTCACCATTTATTTTTTTCTGTCTATAGGGACTGAAGAGGAGGTGCAGACAGACTTGAACTACAGCTTGGCCCCCTGACAAAGCATCTCCATCTTTATAATGAGTTTGCGTGCAAGTATTGTTCAGTTCTTAGCAATGATTAATTGTGCATATGTGGCATATTGTGAGTGTTTGCATTTTGATCAATGCTGTGTTATCTTAGTTTGTTTCAAAACCAGAGGAAGCAGAAACCACAAATGTCACTTATTTACTGTCATGCTTAACATTGTAGGTTACGTACCAAAGACCCCCGAACAAAATGTCTCTAATCACAGATAACGATTTCATATTTTCATGTCTGAAGAGCTATTACGATTTATGTTGTGTTTTGGCTATGCTCTGATATGGTAAGGGTAACATATTTGTAACTAAAGGGTTAAATGCTTATCATCAGATATATTGTTATTTTTAAATTTGCATTTCTAGTTTATTTCTAAATTTTGTTCTTTATTATGTTTTTATAGTAAAATATAATCTAAAGTTGTGTTGTTCCTAAAAGATAAGAAATGTGTATGGCATTTTAAGGCACTGTGTTTTAAACTGAACAGAAATAAACTGTGAGAATTTCAGACTGTTACAAAATAAACCACTAATGGACTGAAAAATCTGTGTTGTCCCATTCAGAATTTTGTGGCTAAAATGTACTCAAGACTCAATTAATTACTGAAGGTTTAAGGAATTTTAACAATGTTCATATTATGCTAAGACAACTATGTCAACCAGGGCATCAGACCTGCAACTTTTTCTGTAGCTCAGAAGAATATGAAAGTAAGCATACTGATGTCCATACAGGAAAACTCTTTATTCTTAGCTAAATAAATGCATATGTAGTCACTTTAGTAGTCACACAATATTGTACACTGCTGCCATCTGCTGTTATAAGTTCAGCATCACACTATAAACTAAAATAAGCCAATACGCGGTTGCATTAGGTTCAATTGAAGACATGGTTTTCATTTTAATTTAAGATGTGTATTTCGTATTTCTCAATTTATGCAGATAATCCTATAGCAGATACAGGCTATTTTTTCTACCCTCAGTCCCATTACTCAAAAGGCAGTTCTTCATGATGACCAGTAGGGGGATCTGTTGATACGTGAAAACTCGCGCTAAGGGGAAGACCGCTACTGTTGCTGTGTAATCTTACTCAGAAATATGTTTAACGAACTTAATTCATCCATATCCAAATTATGTAAGGTCCGACATGTTATTAAAATTAGTGTGTGGGCTATTTAGAATCAACTTATTTGCGCTTATTCATCTAAATTTGATACTGATGTGTAGTATTTTATGCATGTCATATCTTATGTAAATTTCTCAGTGTCTTGACCATCTGTCTGACCCGTTCACCCTGCTGACCCCTGACCTGGCTCTGACCCCAAAGATCATTACGCACTTGGCAATGGCCATATTAAGCATCTTTATCAACAGCAGACAAGAAGCTATTTTCTTTGTCCTCCCTGGGATGGGATAGTAGTAATAGTAGAAGTAAAGCAGTAGGCTAATAGCAGAACTGATGCGCATGAACAATAGGCCTACTAGTTTTAACTCCAAAAATAATGTTTAATTTTAAAGAAACTTATATCACTGATGCAAATTGTATAAATAGTTCAAAATAGTTAGAATAAATCCCATGCAATGTTTTATTGATATGTGAATTTTATTTAAATGCTGTTTATGTTATGTCCAAATTTCATTCCAGGCAGTGCCAGCACAGAAAAGGATGACCAGGGTAAAGAAAGTAAGGCTGCTTAAAATCAAATTCTAAAATCAATTTTGAGTTTGAATTTTGATGCGTGTACTTTTAAATCTCTCGTGTATTGGTGCGTGTCTGTGTGTGATCATTCCTGGGGTGCAGTGAAGCATCATGGGAGCTGATCAGAGCTGAAGTGTAATTGTGTCAGAGCGAAGACCCAGAAAATACAGTGAGGGCGATACAGACAGACAGAGATAGAGGAGAAGAGGGACCAGAGGAAGAAACACACACAGTAATTATGCGCATACTTTACAAATAATCTATAAAGACTTTTGCACTTTAAAATCTCAAACATGTAACGATCACATAAGGTGCATTCACTCTTGCACATATTGGCCACATTAAATTTGGACTAAACTGGGATTAATTTTAGAACCAATTGTGGACCAGGACTAAACAAGGACCAAATCAGCTCTACAATGTGGACTAAACTTGGCCTAAAACCAGGACTGTGAATGCTCTTAGACGAATAAATAGACTAATACAATATACGCATAAGCCAGAGCTATATCATCTAATTGTGTTCACTGGGTTCCAGCAATTCTTGTGACTATATTCAGCATCAAACCATGGTAAAAAGGAAAGTAAAGTAAAATGTCTGAATTCCACATTATGATAGTAATTTTCATTCTTCTCATTCCCTTTTTGTGCTGTTAAAAGACACTTTTGTTGTAGGATTTTCCACTGAAATTGATTTGGTGCAGAAAAGTAAATATAATTTTAATATCACATAAAGCATGGTTAAGGGATATTTTAAAAGGATATTGAATACACTTATCAAATTGATTCCTACCCTCAGCATTCACCATTGGAGTTGTAGCTCATATAACATGAATGAATAGAACCATAGACGCACCTTCCTTCATTGGCCTTGACCGACAGGCTAACCTTGCAGCAGGACTTTTAAACTGCAGATCTGCCCTGGTTTTAAATAACACACACACAGAGCAGTATAATAGGGTCATTACATGTTCCCATCAGCTCCATCGATCTCCACATTTGAGAAAATAGAAAATAGTGAAAGAGAGAGGGGGCAGGGAGAGGGCAAAAAGAGGCAAGTCAAGGTAAGAGTCCTTGAAGAGATTGGAGAGAAATGTTATATGATGTATGTAGGCTACTTGATGGATGATACTTAATGGGGACATAATATGTAAAATCTACTTTTATGAGCTTTTAACCATTTTATAACAATTTTGCCTCATCATTAGCTTGTTCACATATATTTTTATTGATTCATGCAGGTCTGAGTAATCCTGTATTGTCATGTATTTGAGGCTTGAGTGCTCTGAAAATGATTGTTTTCACCTACCGTTTATCTCCACCCTGTTACTTACTTCTGACTTAAATTCTGTCGGTCACGTTAAAATGTAAATTTTCAGCAATATATTTTTGCAGTTCTGAGCAGGAATTGAATGGATCCGATTCTGTCATCACACCATTTTATATTAATTCCATAAACTAAATGTAAAATAATGATCACAGATGTAGTTTCATACTGACGACCCCAACAAGTAGAATAAGAACTTTTAACCATGTTATAATAGTTTCCCTTCACCATAAGCTTACTCTGAGTTGTACTGTATTTATATTGTACTGTATTTGAGCCTTTAATGTACTAAACAATTCTGTTTTCACTTAACCCCCATCCCCACCCACAATGCCATACTTAAAATTTAAGACTTCATGTAACACACAAATGTGCAGAAATGTTGCATTTAGCCATTTTGTGAAAATAAAAACATTGTAAATCATAATCTGGTGCATTTTACATTATCAGCAGAGAATCACTTTTGAACAGGAAGTCAGTGCCCCCATTTCTATAATAGTTGTTTTAGGTCATTGTTACAATGAACAGCATTTAAAATCCTGATTTACATATGTTACACTTCATCAGTAAAGAGCATAATGTCCTCTTTAAAATTTTTTATAATTTTTTTTAGCATTTATTGGATTAAAGTCAGAACTTATGCTGGAGTGCACCAGGACTAAACTACTAAACTAAAGAAGAGGACCCACCCCAGTCTACATCAGGACTAAACAGGGCTCAAACCCAGAACAAACCTGGACAAGTGTGAATGCACCCTATTTGGTTTTTATGAGGTGCCCAAGTAAGTAACAAAACTGCCTGTTATACATAATCTCCTTAAGATACATTTAAATGTATGAATGCAATTTTGCATGTGCCCATTTTTCAGTTTATTCCACGTTTTAAAAGATGGCTGCCTTCTTCTTGTCTTTATGCTTCTTCTTTCTGTGGCATTTAAGTGCATTTAAATTGATTTGAGAGAGTAGGAGACATAGGGGAGGGAGGGAGGGTAGGAGAGAGGACAGAGGAGCTAGGACTTAGGGAAGGAGGGAGGAGAAGGGGGAAGGGTGGACGTTGCCATGACAACTGCCATAATAATCATCCTAATGATTGATGTGCTGCGCTCCATTTCTCTGGCTCTATCTGCAATTCTCTTCTCTTTTCCCTCTGTCTCTCTGTCCGTGAGTCTGCGTGTGTGCTCTTTTTTGCACTGGTTTAGCAACAAACAACCACTTAAATGACAAATGAGCACTAGAATACATTTGATATTTTATGTAGGTATGAAAAATGACTTGGTCTTCTCTACAGAATATAAGAGTATTAAATATAAAAGAAGGTGGCTGGTTTAGGAGCTTGGATCAATCTCTTGTATGTCATTGCGTTAGATCATTCAGGCGTATTATATGAATGAGTGTGTGTGTGTGTGTGTGTGCGTATACAGTGTCATAATAGATAGCCCTGTAATGGAGTACAGTCAAATTGCTCCATAAATGTTCAAGTGAATTATGTAGAGACCAGTCTGGGCCAGATTCAGCTGCACAGCACACTGGACTGCAAACCTGCACGAGATGTTCCTATATTTGACAACTCATAAAACAAGTAGTAGATCATTAGTCTAATTCACATGGAAATTCTCATTGATCGTATGTGTGGATGTTGTCACAATATTTATATAAAAAATGAATGGTGCAAAAGATTCACGAGGATGTGACCTATCCTTTTAAATTTAAAGTGGCGTATTTTGCAGGCTTGGGCTTTTAACTGCTAAACGTAAACAGTATGGGTTGTTCAAAAGAAATACATTTTGCAACATCTGGATCTCGCAATAATTTGGTACCTTCACTAATTAGGGTTTACTCCGCTGACTTTAGCCACAAGAGGGCAGCAAATGTGAAATTTTACATCTGATCGTCTCAATGGACAAGGCATTTACTCCTGAACTAAAATAATGTTTTTAAAATTGTAACTTATAAATGTTTTATTCAAAATCAGTCAGTCAGTCATGGTTAAAATGTTTTTGTTTTTTTTGTACAATAAGAGAGCAGAGGGACAGCCTTGGTTGAGGTTTATGCTTTTCATATGGATTTAAAATATTTCATTTCATGACAAATAATAAAATAATTGAAAAGAAGATGAACATGTTGACCTATGTATTTTGTAATGTCATTTATATATCCTTAATGATAAAAACAGGATACAATAATAATATAATAACTGGCACTGACACTAATGGAAAATGTTATAAAGTCAATTGAAACATGAAACTCCAAATGATTATAAGTTGAAATCCTTTTGCTGTTGTCTTTTTGCCCGAGAATACATATTTTGTGTTAAGATTGACTCTTTAAGATGAACGTCATCTCATTGTGACATTTCCTTCTATAGAGAGCAGACCAAAAGAGGCCACACATCTAAAGGTCATGTGTCTGATTCCTCCCCATCTCTACAGCCTCTCCTCTGTATTCTTCTATATTACAATACAAATGCTTTGATTTAAATTGACTTCTTCTTTTTTGACT